ATGCTCTGTAGAACATGTTTGACTTGAACCTGGAGATCCGACTGCCTCTGCCTCCCAAGTGCTGAGATCAAAGGCGTGCGCCACCACCACCTAGCCCTTTAGTTTACTTTTTAACTTAAGGAATAAAAACTTTGTGTGGAAAGAAGCATGTTGTCCAAATAATTTTATGTATTATAAATAAAATTTAGTTTAATAAGATATATAAATCACAACTCTTGGGAGGCAGAGCCAAATGGATCTCTGTGAGTTCAAGGCCAGTCCAGGTCAGCTAAGGCTATATAGTGAAACCATGTCTCAAAAAAAAAAACAAACAGAAATACACCAAATCTCTAAACGTTGCAATTTTTATTTAGTGTATTTTTTTTCTTTTTACTGCCTTCACACTTCCCCTCTTTTGGTATTTTCCTCAACATTTCTATCTTTTATAAAACATCTCTATTTAAACTAATTCCATTTAAGTACTCACCTGCATAAGGCTAGTGGCAGCCTGACTGGACAGTGTCACCATGAAGCACTTGACAGCTAACAAACATCAGGACAGGTGTGGATGTTGCTGGGTGTTGTGGTGTAGTGTTATTCCCAGCACTTGGGAGGCAGGGGAGATCCCAGGACAACGAGTAGGAATCGTTTGTCTCCTCCCACATTCGGGCCCTGGGATTGAACTAAAGTGGTCAAACACGTCAGTAGGACCCTCTGCTGGCTGAGCCATCTCACCGGCTCTACCAAATACCTCTTTTAAAAGAAATATTTTTACCTTTTTATTAATGAATGAATGGATTGAGTGAGTGAGTGTGTTTGTGTGTGACACACACGTGCAAGTCACAGTGCCCATGAAAAAGAGAAAGCTATGGAGTAGTCAGTTCTTTGTTTCTATCATATTGGTTTGGGGGCCGAACTCAAGTTCAACCTTGGCAACAAGTGCCTTTTCCTGATACAATGGTCCTAAAATGCTTTTAAAAGTTCGTAAATAACTGGTGGTATTTTAAGTAGAATTGTGAACTGACTTCTTTTTCCTTTTCTTTCTACAGACAGGCAAACTAATTTTGAAACCTAGACCTCATGTTCAATGACAGTCTACACTATTGTAGGGAACCTAAGCCAGTCTTTCCTCAAGTAAGGGGTAGAGCAAAATGCCATAAAGGAGTCCTTTTGGAGTTGGACATGTGACAGCTTAGCAGCAACTGACAAGAAGCATGCAACATTTGCCCAGATGATCTTGACGATGCTGGCTGAGCTCTCAGCGCCTCAGTACCTTTGATTACCTGTGTTCAGTATTAGTGTCTCTTCAGCACTTCAGCCCCTGCACAGAACTCTGCAGATGAAGTATGTGCGTATTACTAAGTTAAACTTAGAAACCAAACCTCCTTCAGTTTTTATAATGTATTTTTGCAAACTACTGTAAATAGCAAATCAATGCCAATGTTAAACCAAGAGGAAAATGTCTGGACTCTGTTCTCCTGCACCAGTATTTCAGGACCCATCTGCTTGACATCTCCACAGCTCCTTAAACTGGCTACTACGTGTGCCTTTCATTCTTAATGCCTCCTCCCATTGCGCTGCAGGAACCGCAGAAGATCCCGCTTAGACTGAGCACGTCTCATCTCCATTATGTTGAAAAATTTATACATGTTTCGACAATTTTTGTTAAGCCCGATACTGGATTCTGGCAACTATTATATTTTTCAGTAAATTGTTTTCATTTAACACTAAATTACTTTAAAAAAAAATTGTAAAAACACCCCAAAGTCTTCTGAATGTACAAGTTAAAAAATTATGTATTGTCTGGGAATTTGACAGTCCATTTTAGGTGACTGGATTTTATGCTGTGGTAGACGTGTTACACTAGTCCCGTCCTGGTGTAGATGATGGGCTCAGCCCGTCACGGAACACGGAACCATACCACAAACCAGAGCCTGCAGCTCTCACTGCTGGAGAGGGTTGGTGGCATACTGTGTATGCGCAACAGCCACATGGACTATGGGAGCCCTTAAAATGAAACTGTCAGGATTGCTGTAAATGCTTAAAGTACTAGAGGTGCCTTTTACCCGTTTATTAGAAGATTTTGAAAAGGTTAAATTATTTCATCAGCAATATTTTAAATTTCATCCAACATTAAACTAAATTTGAATAATAGGACAAAAACGTTTAACAAAGCTGCCGTTTAACTTAATGTGTTCATCTTGACTTTCCTGTGTATAAAATTGCATTCTCTGAATTGCAGCAATAAAACCCTCTGCTTCTAAGAACTCTCTAAGAGGGTGTTCTATATGTTCTGCATTGTTTCATTTTCTGTAAATTTTGTAGGTAAATATGTGCATAAAAATAAATACTTTATATATAACTAGTGGTTAGAGATTTTCTTTGGTTTATTGTGCCTGCAACTAGAAAAAAATATAAGCATATTCTATGTATCAGATACAAGCTAATTCCAAATTAGATATTTTACTCAAATTTTAGCTTTATGTGTATGAGAGTTCTTCCTTCATGTATACCTGTGTACCACTTGTGTGTCTAGGGCCTGTGCCAGTAGGAAAGGAACATCAGATCGCCTGGAATTGGAGTCACAGAGCCACCATGTGGGAACCAGGAATTGAACCCCAAACCTCTACAAGAACAGCCAGGGCTCTTACTGCTCTTACCGGCTGAGCTGTCTCTTATTATAATTCTGTCTTGTAGAACAAACACAGTTGCAGGTATGGCAGTTCTAGACTATTAGCCTTCGTCATGCCTTATTCGTGGTCTAATAGTGATTGGCCTTTGCTCAGGAAACGCAGGGTTTGTTACATTGCTCTTAACATACTTGGATTGGGATTTTCTCCAAGAATATAAAGCCAAAGAAGATTTTAAGGCTCTTAGTATTGAGAGTAGGGGCTCCTTTGAGAGTTTGATTAAAACCTGGCTCCTCTCCCCTAGAAGAGATTTAGCTGGATATACATGTAAACTTGGTCTATGTGCTCTGCAAGAGTAGCCCGTGCTGAGCCATCCCTGCAGCCGCAGGATATTCTTTTGGTTTGTTTGTTTGTTTGTTTGTTTTAAGACCAGGTTTCATTATGTAACACTGGCTGTCCTAGAGCTCACTGTGTAGATCAGGCTGGCTTTGAACTCACAGAGATCCTCCTGCCTCTACCTCCTGAGTGCTGAGATTAATGGATGTGTGCCCCTACACCCAGCCAGGATAATTATTAAAAGTGCACATCTACAGTAACTTTGTTAAAGGCAGCATAGAGCTACAGTGTTCTGTAAAACCCATGATGTCAGGACCAGGGTCTAGCTATTTATTTCTAGAGTCCCTAAGGCACGGCAAGTAAGCACTTTGACATGAGCAGATAGACTTGCTCATGAAGGAGTCCTGTGGAATGGACTGGCAGCAGAGTTGTCAGCAGTTACATAATCACCACAGGTGCCTCAGCAAAGTGAAAATGAGAGTCAGAGCCTCGGGCTAATCCCAGACTGTTCAGAGACAACTGCAACTTCTCTTTCAAGAGTTAAGTTTCTTTTTTTGAAACAAAATGGCTCTCACTCCTTTTGATGTTTTGCAATCTTTAAAGTCTTTGTGACTAGAGCAGCCTCTCCTTGATCATACGGATCTTAGTGGTGAGTTTGGAACCAGAGGAGTGTCTTGGCTTATTTTTTCAGATGACTACTGGCCTTGAAGTTCTTTGATGACTACCTAATCACAATGTAGGGCAGTGTGAGACAAGGCAGTAGCAGGATGAGGGAGCAGATACTTTAGAGCCTTATTCCACGCTGCTAATACAGACCATCAGTGCACCTTCTCTGCACGGAGCTCCCAGGCTAGCAGGGACAGCATATAGGGATAGCTTTTCTGTTTGCACATTTTATAAATTCTGTTGCTGGAACACAGGGCCTGGCACTTGCTAGGCAATCATTTGCTGAGGCTCATTCCCTGCCCCTTACCGGCACACATTTGATGACAATACTGGACAATTCAAAGAGAGATACTGCCACACAAACTACATGGTGGGCCTGTGGTAACGTGTCTGCTGGGACAGCAAAGAGAATGAGGATGATAGATCAGGTCCCATAAATTGGACATTTTAAAAATATCTCCCATCTCTCCAGAATACATCCCTACCTATAACAAAAGGATTTTTAAATAGATCTGAGAATATGCCCCAGATGATAGCCAAATGATCAATGCTAGGAACACGTAAACCTAAGCTATCCGGTTGCCCAGGCCTAAGACTAGTCCAACAGAGCTCCAGGAAGACTGAGAAGGCTCCCTGGTTTATAGAAAAAGTGCTAGTAGCATGAAGCAGAATGCCATGATGTCAAAATCCCAAGTGGATTTTACAACTACATGACCCCACTAGAAGTTTTTAGAAAATATACTTCAGAGTCTCTTTTAGGAAGGCTATATTACAAAAATATGGATGGCCAACAGATGTCTGGAAAAATAGGTAACTTTAAAAAAAAAATGAAATAACTTAGCAAGTAAAGGCATTTGCTATGCAAACCCGAAAACCTGAGTTTCATTCCTGGAACTCAAGTAAAGGTTGATGGAAGAAACCATGTCCTCAAAGGAGCCCTCTGATCGCCACAGGAAGGAGGCGGCATGTGTGCCTACCCATATATCACACATACTTTTAAAAATTGTTAGACGAATATTTTATGAGAAACGTTTTTTATGTTAAGTTTGTCTCTGTCCCTAGCACAATAAAATAGCCTGGCTGAAAGTCACTAGGCTCCTTCTAAAAGTGTCTATCACCTATGGAATGGCTGGGGAATGGCTCCTAAGAATGGTAAAGAAAGTGCTGGGATTAAAATCAAGAGCCACCACCATCCGGCCGAGCTTGTCTTTTGTACAGTTGAGTTTCTGAAGAAGTCTTGCATTTGCTTAATAGAAATAAGGTCGGGTATGTTAACATTCCCAGGAAAACCAAAGGCTCCACCCACTGTCAGGGATGGCTCCGCCCGCGTCACATTACACGCACGCGCACTTCCTGCTCCCGCCCCCTGCGCAAGCGTGCTGCTTTTCCATGTATGCTCAGGCCGTCACATCGGACCAGCTGAGGAGAACCGGCAAGGAAGGTCGGAGACTAGAAGTCTCCACCGGCCCGGCGGGCCCCATCGACTGCTACTGCAGTCTTCCTCTTCTGATCTATCACCGCGGCCTCTGTCGCCATGGGTAAGAGTCGGACGAAGCGCTTCAAGCGACCTCAGTTCTCCCCTATCGATAGCTGTCAGGCCGAGGCGGCAGCCGCGGCGAACGGGACTGGGGTCGAGGAGGACGATGGGCCCGCGGCGGAACTTCTGGAGAAGGTGGGACGAGGGCTTGGCCAGGCTCGGGCGGCTTGCGGCGGGCGGCAGGGTGGCCAGGAGAGAGGTGCTGCAGCGCGCGTGCTCACTACGCGACTCTGACGTCTTGGTTCCCGCAGCTCCAGCACCCGAGCGCCGAGGTCCGCGAGTGCGCCTGCGCGGGACTGGCCCGGCTAGTGCAGCAGCGGCCGGCACTACCGGACTTAGCCCGCCGGGATGCTGTGCGCCGGCTCGGGCCGCTGCTGCTGGACTCTAGTCTGGCGGTAAGGGAGACGGCGGCCGGAGCTCTGAGGTGAGTCCGAGAAGGACCGAGGCAGTGTCCCTGCGAGCAAACCAACCTAGTACACCCTCGCCCGATGCATTCTCTACTTCTGGAGGGAGACTAACCTGCCGGTTAGTTCAGGTTTGCCGTGGATGGAGATGTGAGTTCATGCTCCGAAGGACCCCGGAGCCCACGGATCACACACATTTTTTTGTATCCACCTGGTTGCTTCACCAACCCTCAAACCTCATGCACATTTCCCCTGTCTCAAAACCCTCCATAGAGTCCCTGATAGGATAAAGTCTTCCAGTCTGGGCTCTAAGTACAACTTACATTTCAGCATGTAAGATGTCTTTGCAGCAATTCCACTGAGAGGGTGTCTGGAAACTAGCGAAAAGACAAAACAGTATTAGTGAGAAGTGCTATTTAAAGGAGAGAGTGCATTTCAGGACGAGGGGGAGTTGAATTGAGGTACCCTCTAGATGACATTTATAAACAGACCAGAACATCAGAGAAGCAGGCATGGAAAAATAGGGTGTTTGCATTCCTTATGGGAGGAACAGCAACGGTAGAGAAAGGAGGCAGAGTGCAGATTGACACATGTGTCGGAGGAGAGAAGGGGGGGATTATATTTGCTGAGGCTCCCGAGGTGAGGGAGTTATTCTAAACTGGAGTGGTGTAATCTATGTTTTGAAAAAGCCATTCACTTATTGTATGAACTAAGGGGCCTCACCTCTTGAATGTAAAATGCAAAATTTAAAACTCCTAAAAACCCTAAGGAGAAAACTCCAGGTGATCTAGAGATTTTAACTGCAACACCAGAGGCACGAGCCATAAAAGAAATAATGGATGGGCTGAATTTAAATAAAATTGAGACTTTCTAGCATGATGGCACAGGCCTTTAATTCCAGCACTAGGGAGGTAGAGACGGGGATCTCTGAGTTTGAGGCCAGCCTGGTCTACAGAGTGAGTTTCAGGAGAGCCAGGGCTACCCAAAGAAGCCCTATCTCAAAAAAAAACAAAACAAACAACAAAAAACAAACCAAAAGCCACTCTGTCTGTGTGTAGAATGAACTGTAGAGAGGGCAAAAAATTAGTGTTTGTGCTCTTACAGGTTTGCCTGTGGGTACTGTTTCAGTCTAGTAAATATTGGATGGAGCGCCTGTGTGCCAGTCACTGGACTAGGCAAGTTCAAGGCCAGCTTGAACTGCTTAGTGAGTTCCAGGACAGCCAGGGCTGTTACACTTGGAAGCCTTGTCTAGAAAAAACCAACCAACCAACCAGATAAATAAATAAATCGTAAGTCTATTGAGTAAGATTAATGTTAATAATATATTATTATTAACCAAATAATGCATGTATGTATAACTACAACTAGTAGTAATTACAGAGACTACTATTAGGGATATGATGGTGTGAATAAGAATGTCCCTCATAGGCTCATGAGGGACTACTTAGTATTTGAATGCTTAGTCACTATTGAGTGTTGCCATTTGAGAAAGATTAGGAGGTATGGTCTTGCTGGAGTAGGTGTGGGTTTGTCAGAGGAGGTATGTCACTGAGGTTGGGATTTGGGGTTTCAGAAAGCCCACACCAGGCCCAGCATCTCTGTCTATGATCAAGATATAGCTCTCAACTACTGCTCCAGTGCCATACATATTCCCATGCTCCAGCATGACAACGGACTAAGCCTCTGAGACTGTAATCAAGCCTCCAATAAATGCTTCCTTTATAAGGGTTGCCTTCATCATGTTGTCATCAGTGTAGACAGTGATAGCATTATTTGATGAGCTGAGGACCAGGACAGTTGGGAATCTGTAGGCTTGTTTTCCAGCATGTGACAAATACTGTTTTCTGTGGGAAACCTTAACTGTGCTTAAACATACAGGACTTAGCAGCATTTTGTGAGATGTGATTTGAAAGTAAAATGTGTTTACATTTCTCATGTAGAAACCTCAGTGCTTGTGGAGGTTTTGACGTTTGTGATGACATGGTGGCAAAGGATATCATGACACCCCTGGTGGCACTACTAAGAGAGGTATGTGGCATTTAACATAGCCCGAGTGATGACTTAGGAGGTTTTTTGTCTGCTTTTATTTTTCAGTTCTTTGGTGTCATCTTATGTGTTCCTTTAAACACCCTGCAACAATTTCATTTCTTTCCCTGGAAACTTAGTACAAAGCCCTCACTAATACCAGTCTCTATTACTTGTGTCTTTGCCACCTTCATGATTAGAAGAGCCCTTTCTAAAGATCTGCACACTTACCCCTTTAGAATTCAAGCCCCTTCCCTGATTGTTCACTCATATATGCCTGTCATTTAATCTTCACAGTGGTCCTATAAGACAGGTCTCTTTTCTCTTTCTTTTTTGTGGTGAGGAAATGGAACTCAAATCTTTGTGCCTACCACCAGGCAGGTGCTTTACTACCACCCAGCTGTATCCAAATCCAAGGCAGGTATTCTTATACCAGTTTATATAGTGATGATAGGCCCAGACATTATGAACTTATAAAGATTGTGTCGTACTCTCGTTGTTACGTGTTACATGTACATTCATGTTACATGATGCAGCTCATTGGTTAAGGACATTGGACTCTTTTAGTTCCTCTCAGCCTGCCATGCCTTTCTTCCACCTTTCTACATAGAACTGATTTCACTAATGCTGTGAGATCCTGCTCCCTTTTGAGTAGTGGTGCTGCGCTGCAGCTGATGTGCCACATGGGGACTTTGGGCACCATGCTGCTGGCATCCAGTCGGATAGAAATCAGGGATGCTGTAGAACCTCCTTCCATGCAGAGGGCATTCTCCCCATGAGAAGTCTAAGACCCAGAAGACCTTTTAGAGAGTGCCCTGTTCTGTGCTAGGAAGGAGTCCTGCACAGAGGTCAAGGGCTCCAGTTGGAGGCTAGAATGCCTGCAGCTGAAACCCAGCTTTACCATACACTCAGCTTGTCTTCAGGAGCCCCTTTTACCTTATTTTTCTATATATATTGGGAGATAAAGGTTAATAGTTGAGCTGCCTCAAGTTTGTTGTGAGGATTAACTTGTTAATATATGTAAAAAGCTCAGAATAGGACTTAGGGGGTGCTGTACAGATATTAGCTCTTTTATTTCTTTGTCATTGTCTTTTTTTTTTTTAATATAAATTTATTTATTCGCTTTGCGTCAGCACTTTACCCATGTAGAATGTGGGATGCATAACATCATGCCTTGATGACCGACCTTGTCAAAGGGGTGTATTTTTTTTTTTTAAGTGTTTATTTGTCTGTGTCTGTGTGAGTGAATGCTGTGTATCAGGTGCCTTTAGAGGCCAGCAGAGGGTGTCAGATTGCTTGGAGCTGTAGTTACAAGTGGTTGCGTACCGGTTGATGTGGATACTGAGAACGGAGCCCAGGTATCTTGTAAGAGCAGTGTGTAAGAGAAGGTTGCAAGAGCAACCTTCCCCTGGACAGACAGAGAGTGCTCTTAACTGCTGAGTCGTCTCTCTGTGCCCAAGGGATGTCCATTTTGAGATTTGTACTTATAATCATTTGATGTAATTATTAACCACTATAATCTCTGGTGTTTTTGAGGTTATAAAACTACCACGAGCTTTCTTGCTTCGTTATTCTTTTGAGCTTGGGTGCTAATCATGATGTTTGGTTGCAGTGTAGCTCTGGACTGGATTCAAATGAGATGTCTCCACCGGAGAAAGACGAGAAGAGAAACCCCATAGAGAGCATAGCTAATGAGGCTGTGAATGTGCTATGGAATGTATGGTAAGTGCTGTCCAACAGCAGTGTCCTATGGTGTCACTGCCCAGCCTCCGGTGCTCTCTGTTACACTGTAGGATCTGCCCACAAATGCTTTAGTAGGTGGGACTACCTGGTGACTTGAGATTCATCCTCCCAGTCAGCCCAGTGTACAGCTGCCTTGGGATCTGGAATGAAAGGGGACCACAAACATTGGCTGATGCTTTTGTCCACTGCTCTGGTAGTAACTGTTTGAATAGAAAGTAGATTCCCAAGAGGAACTCTCTGGGACTGAGTAGGAACAAGGCCACTTCTTTTCCCTGTTGCTGACACTGGTTAGGTTAGAGTGGATCACGGCTGCGAGTGAAAGTAGCCAGAAACAAAGCCTGGAAGCACTTTCTAAGCTTGGTTTTATGTCTGTAATTATAGCAGAATTGTAGTTTCTTACATTTCAGCTGGGAACAATTGAAATACTGACCTAAAAGCAGTGTTTCTTGGACTTTAAGATTGAGGTAGGTCTAGAAAAGCTGCTTCCATACCAGTCTGACTCTGCTTGTAATTCCATCTTAAACCAGTAGTTGCATTCTGTCCCACCAGAAATACCAGCAAAGATTTGAGAAAATGGCTTTTCCCCCTTTTTTTAGTTTTTCCTTTTCTGTTCATTCCTCCCTTCTCTCCCTGCCTCCCCTTTACCCCCAGTATCTCACTATGTAATTTTGGCTCATGATCCCCATTCCTTTATCTTCTGGCTGCTGAGATTGCAAACTGGCTATAGGAAAGGGTACATGAGCAACTGATTGGTGTTTTTATGTCCACCACAAATCTTTTACTGTCTATGATTTTGTTGTTTGCAGTCCTGAGCCTCATGGCTGCTAAGCACTAAACATGTTCTGCCACTGTTCTTTATCTCCAGTCACTAGAAGATCACTGGACTTGAATTTTTAATATTTTTTTAAGTTACATATATGTGTATGGGTACATACAAGTGAATGCTGGTACTTTTCTAGGCCAGACATCTGGAGTTGGTTATGAACCATCTGATAATGGTGCTGGACATCAAACTTGGGTCTTTACAAAAACAACACTTACTCTTAACTGTTGAGCCATCTTTCCAGCTCAACAGTTTTATTTTTTTATTTTATTTATTTATTTATTTATTTATTTATTTTGGTTTTTTCGAGACATGGTTTCTCTGTGTAGCCCTGGCTGTCCTGGAACTCACTCTGTAGACCAGGCTAGCCTCAAACTCTCGAACTCAGAAATCCGCCTGCCTCTGCCTCCCAAGTGCTGGGATTAAAGGCGTGCGCCACCACCGCCTGGCAACAGTTTTATTTTTTGAGACAGGTGTAGGCCAGGTTAGCCTAGGACTTGCCATGTATCAAAGGACCTTGAATTCCTGACTTTTGTTTTTATTTCCCACGTCCTGGGCTTACAGGTGTGAGCCACAACAGGTGGCTTGCAGTGGGACTTGTAAGGAAATTTTCTTTGAAGAGAGTCTAGTAGAGTGGTTCTCGGCCTTCCTAATGCTGCGGCCCTTTAACACAGCCCTCGTGTTGTGAGCCCAACCGTAACGTTGCTTTGTTGCTGTTCCATAGCTGTAATGTTGCTGCTGTTAGGAATCATAGTGTAACTGTCTGCTAGGCAGCATGCCTGCTCTGAGACCCCTGGAGGGGTCATGGTGCACGGTTGAGAACCACTGGCCTAATAGTTCTGTCTCCAAAGTAACTCTACTGTCTGGAGTCCCTGTGCGTCCTACAGTTAGCATCACTCTTAGAATTTTGTTTCACTCTTCACATTTCATTACGTGTAGATGCTTTGCCTTCTTGGCTATAGTTTAGTGCTGAAATAACTAAAGAGATAGCTAACAGAATATATTTTTGACTGCATGAGTCACCTGTTACCTCAGTACATTGTGTGTATTATATGTACATTGAGATCATATTCTAGAAACATGAGTAAAATTATTCATTTTTTAACCTGTGTTTAGTGTACATGCTTATTAGTAATATTGATAACTTTATTTAAGGAAGCTCTGTGATTTCAAAACTAATACTTATTAGAATAATTTCTCTGAAATTTGAAAATTCTCTTTGTTGGAATTATAATTCCAGTCTAGGAGTTCATAAAATGTGATTTTTCAATTAAAATGTTGCTTTTCATGTGATAGAGGCCTTTGTCCTTACTTGAATGCATTATTATCGAGTGGTAGTGGAAAAGAACAGTCTATATACACAAGGAACTGAGGGCTGGGCAGGGTGCCACTACACACAGGTTATAGGGCTGCAGATGGATGGCCTCACCTGGGGCGTCTGGAGTTCTCTCAAGTCTGTAAAATGGGATATTGGATGAGTGATTATTTCTGAGGATTCATACAGCTTCAACCTTCTGTAAGGAGAGATTGACTACTAAGAGGCCCCAGTGTGAAGAGAATGAAGCCCTGATAGGTTGTCATGAACAATAAATAAGAGTGGACATTTTTTTCTTTATAAAAGTGGTGGGTGTTTTGACTCCTGATCTTTGGTTTTATAAAGCATAATTAATTTTTCATAAACTTCTGTGGTTGATTTCTTAATGTTAAAATATGAATAGTAAAACTTATTTTTCCCCTTCAATTTAGTGAATGCAGTAGTAGAGCAGTATCTATATTCAACAAAGAAGGGTGTTTGGAGATTGTATTACAGTACTTACGTAGGTTCCCCACCAGTGTTGACCTGGCTGTCTCCGTAGGTAAGTGAAAAAAGTGTTCATTTGTTATTCCTGTGTGCCATGGGCAGGCACAGTGTATCTGCTAACACTCCTATTGTTACTAGATGTATTGTCTGGAATTTCTTTACATCTGTGGCTAATACTTTACTTATCCAATTCTGCAGGGTTTGGTTTCTTTCTTTGTTTTGTTTTATTTGTTTTGTTTTTGAGACAGGGTCTTACTGATTAGCTCTGGCTGGTCTGGAACTTACAGTATAGATCAGGCTAACTTCTAACGCTTAGAGATCTGACTCCTGGGTGCCAGGATCAAAAGTGTATGCCACCAAGCCTGGCCTTTTTTGTTCGTTCGTTCGTTCATTTGTTCGTTTGTTTGTTCATTTGTTTTGTTCTTTTCAAAACAAGGTTGTGGCTGACCAGGAACTCACTCTGTAGACCAGGCTGGCCTCTAACTCACAGATATCCACCTGGCTCTGCCTTCCAAGTGCTGGGATTAAAGGCATGTGCCAACACTGCCTGGCATTGTGTTTTATTTCTTATAAACCTTTATTCTTGAAGTTTTTAATCTCTATTTTCTAAGAAACAAAAACCTGTATTTCCCTGGCCTTCATGCCAAGCTTAAGCGTTTTATGTCATTTTCTCTTATTTCTGAAGAAAGCGGACAGTTTTTTGTTGTTGCTGTTGTTGGGAGGGGAGCTGTAGAATAGATGATTGGACTTTCAGTTAGGCCTGTCCCTTTCATGGGAGCTGAGGACATGGAGTATATAGCGGTTGCCTTTAGCTTCCTACAGTCTCTGTGTTGGGCTAGAGAGCCATCGAGATTCCTGAGTTCAGCATCAGGAACAGGCAGAATCCAGAGAGTGGGCAGCTGTGAAGAATTCTGGGTACAGAGAAACACTTAAAAAGGATTTTTTTTTTCCTCTGCCCAGTTCTCCTTTAATTATGCATATTTCTGGAAAAGGAAGAAGTATAGTCCTCTTAGCTCTGCCTCCTGTGTTTAGTAGATACTTTTTTTCTTATTAAAGGGATGTATATATGCTGGGGGTTGGCCTCAGAGTCCAGAACAGGGCATCAGATCCCTAGGAGCTGGAGAGGTAGCAGCCAGTTGTGAGCTGTCAGATATGGGTACTGGGAACTGTAAGGGCACTGAGTGCTCTTCACTGCGGAACATCTGCTCTTTTTTAGCCCTGACTGGCTTGTAACCTGTTATGCAGACCAGGCAAGCATTAAATTCACCTACCTCCTCAGTCCTGCAGTTAAAGGCGTGCACTACTACGCCCAGCTCTCAGAGATTTTTTAGAGAGAGAGACCAAAAGAGGGAAACAAAAGTAAAATAGTGGAATAAGTACTACTGGAAACTTGCAAAGATTAGTTTGTCAAATGGAGTCTGTAGGGGCAGTACTGTAAATCAGTGGGGTTTAGAAACAGCGCAGTGTTTTTGGCATGAGTAAGTGTCTTAATCTTAAGCCAGTTTTTATTTCTAAGACGAGAATTTCAGGCAGGTTAGTTCATTGGTTTTAGAAGAAAGTATAGGGGTGGTCTGGAGAGATGGTTTAATGGCTAAAGGCATGCACTACTCTTCCAGAGCCTAAGTGTAGACCCCAGCACAACTGCCTTTAATTCCAGCTCTAGGGGATTTGATGCCCACACAGGCAGGCAGATAGACAGACAGACACACATACACACACATTAAAAGTATATCTAAAAATCTAAAAGAAAAAAATGCTTTTAAAAAGAAAACACAGTAGCTTGGGCCAGCAAAATAGCTTTGTGAGTAAAAGACTTGCAGTACAAGCCAGACAACTTGAGTTTGGTCTCCCAAACCTACATGATAGAAGAGAGCAGCTAGTCTGTGTGTGTGCACTGTAGCGTATAGCCTGGCTCACAATCAGTCAATCAGTCAGTCAATGGATGCATTTTTAAAAATTAAAAAAATACTTTTATACCTTTAAAGCATTAAAGATTTTGGACATCCTCCCCACCCCCCGCTCTTTTATTACTACTGTGGGTGACAGCATGCACACACAGAGTGTGTATGGAGGGCACAGGACAGCTTTATCAAGAATCTCATGCACGGTAGCAGCACCTGGGAGGCAGAGACAGGTGTGTCCACACAGTGAGTTCCAGGATAGCTAGAGCTATAGTGAGACCCTGTCAAAAAACAAAAAAGAAAGAAGAAATCAGTTCTCGTCTTTACTGTAAGGCTCCAGAGACAGAACTCGGGTTGTCAGACTTTGGAGGGAAATACTTTGCCCACTAAGCCATCTCACTGGTTCTTTTTATTCTAATACACTTTTTTTCCACAGTGGATCATCATAAAATCATTTTGAAGTGTATACTAGTGTTTTCTTTCTGTATTTAGCTAGATTGGTGATCTTTATAAACAAATGTTTTATAAGTAAAGCAAGGTTCACTTATAATACAATGAACTCATAGGGTTCTGTTCTGTCCAGAATAATTTTTTGAAATTATGGTTACAGTAGCATTCTTCGGTTCTCTTGGCTTTTGTTGTTGTTTGGCTGTTGAGGTGGTGGTTTGCTGTACTGTGCTGGAGATCCATGCCAGAGCCCTGCTCATGCTGGGCAAGCTCAGTCCAGGAGCTGTCACCCCAGCTCTTTGTCTTGTGCTAAAGTGACTGGCATTAGTCCCTTGTAACACAGTACATTTAGAAGTAAGTTATGTGTATTGATGTGTGTCATAGCTGTACCATGGGTTACATTTTTTATTTTAGATTTATTTAGTTTTTATTTATTTAGTTTGTATGTGTGCACATATGCATGCCTGATGCCCTTGGAGGTTAGAAGAGGGAGTTGGATCCCCTGGAAACTAAAGTTACAAATGATTGTGTGCAGGGAACTGAACCCAGGTCTCTTGTAGCACAGTAAGTGCTTTTAACTGCTAAGCCATCTCTCCAGCCCTGATACCATATGTTTTGATTCATTTGGATAAACACAATCTAATTTGGAATTTCAAAATCTACATTTTTTGGAATAAATATCTCAAAAGAAACTAATTTGGCTTTATTTTCCTTTTTGTACTTCAGAGGTCTCTTCTGTCAAAACCTTTTGTGTGATCTCAGTTTTGTTTTGGGTTATTTTGTTTGTTTTGTTTTTGAGTTTGTATGTGTGTGCTTGTTTGTTTGTTTGGGGGTTTTTGAGACAGGGTTTCTCTGGGCAGCCATGGCTATCCTGGAACTTGCTCTATAGATCAGGCTGACCTGGAACTCAGGGATCTACCTGTCAGTAACTCCTGGTTGCTAGGATTAAAGCCCTGTACCACAAACATTTTTTTTGGTTTGGTTTTTTGATACAGGGTTTCTTTGTGTAACTTTGGCTGTCCTCAATCTATAGACCAGGCTGACCAGGCTGACCTTGAACTCGTAGACTTCTACCTGCTGCCTCCTCCTGAGTGCTGAGGTTAAAGGCATGTGTCATGGATGATCAGTACCTCACTTGTTTTTATGCTTTCAGTTAATTTCTAGAATGAATGTTGTAATCCCTTATCTTGGTTTTTTTGTTTGTTTGTTTGTTTGAGACAGGTTCTTTCTATGGTGGCTGGCTGTCTTGGAACTATGTAGACCAAGCTAGCCTCAAACTCACAGATATCCTTCTAAATGCTGGGATTAAAGAGTACTGATGTTGGGCTGGAGAGATGGCTCAGCAGTTAAGAGCACTGACTGCTCTTCTAGAGGTCCTGAGTTCAATTTCCAGCAACCACATGGTGGCTCACAACCATCTGTAATGGGATCCTATGCCTTCTTCTAGTGTGTCTGAAGACAGCATCAGTGTACTCATATACATAAAATAAATGAATAAATCTTACAAACAAACAAAAAGTACTGGTGTTAAAGGCATGTACCACCACACTCCACCACTGTTTTCTTAAATAACCCTAGTGTACAGGGTTAGATTTCTTCTTGGCAACAGAACTATTAAGCATGTGGTGTATGAACTAGTACTTGGTCATAAACTTCTTGCTCCTAGCCTATGATCAGTGTATAAACTGAGGATAAACTGTAGATACTTACAGTAATTCAGCATTGCTACAATTACTACTTAAATTTAAGTTATAGTTTATGAAAGTATAGTTTTATAAAGAATGAAAAATGTAGTTGGTGATGGTGACACACACCTTTAACCCAGTAGTGCAGAGGCAGGTAGATCTCTGAGTTCTAGGCTATCATTGTCTACAGAATGAGTTCCAGGACAGCCAGGGCTACACAGAGAAACCGTGTTTTTTGTTGTTGTTGTTGTTGTTTTGTTGGGTTTTTTTGTTTTGTTTTGTTTTGTTTTTGGCGGGGGGGAGTAAGGGAGAAGAAAAACATTTAGAAATTTCAAGAAGAGAGATGGAGATCTCTATCACTGAGGCTTCTTTTCCATGTATCATCCTTGAAGTAAAGCCTGTATATCTAATGAAGCTGACGTGTCTAAAAGTTGTAAAAATGCACATTTTTGTATGACTTATACAGGTGTAAAGTTTCTTAAACAGTTGACAGGTTTCTAAGTTGTTAGTTCTTGTGTTATAGCTTACTGTTTGCAGACGGTCACAGAAGATAACCCAGAGCTGCTGAAATCCTTCGATGGCACCGCCCTTCGTGTCCTGGAGTCTGCTTTGCTTTGTCCTGTCACCTCTATGGAGTACATTCTTCTGAAGACACTCGTGGCAGGTAAGGTTTACCCAAATGAAGTCGTAATTGTAATAGACAGATGCAGAGGCCAGGATTCAGTCTTCCCCAGAGCTATGCTCTGTCTGGTCTGAGGACATCTTAGTGTTAGAGCCAAGACCCCTAACTGATTGTTATGAAGCCTCCTGGAACAGATATTTCCATTTTCTAAAAAATTATCTTTTTTCTTTCCCCTTTTTTGTTATTTTGTTTGTTTGTTTGTTTGGTATTTCAAGATAGGGTTTCTTTGTGGCCATGACTGTCTTGGAACTATCTTTGCAATCTTTGTAGACTAGAGTGGCCTTAAACTGAGAAATCTGCCTGCCTCTGCCGCCAGAGTGCTGGGATTAAAGGCGTGCGCCACCACTGGGTTACCTTCTTTTTATGTATATGTGTGTGTGGTTGTGTGAATTTATTCCACATGTATGAAGGATCCCAGGGATCAGAAGAGGGCACTGGATCCCCTGGAATTAGAGTTATAGACAGTTTTTAGCTTCCATGTGGGTGCTGAGAAATGAACACTGGCCCTCTGAAAGAACAGCCAGAACCCTTAACCTGTGAGCCATCTCTCCAGCCCCATCCACTTTAACAAACTATGTCTAATATAGAAATGCTGTAGTTACACTTTCCTCTCTCTCTTTTTTTTAAATGATTGATTTATTTTTATTTTATGTGCATTGGTGGTCTGCTTGCTTATATGTCTGTCTGAGGGTTTTGGGTCCCCTGGAACTGGAGTTAGAATAGTTGTGAGCTGCTCTAGGGCTGCTGGGAATTGAAGTCCTCTGGAAGAACAGTCCGTGCTCTTCACTGCTGAGCCATCTCTGCAGCCCTGCTTTCCCCTTTTCACACATGACCCATTGTGTTCACAGTTCACTTAGGGCAACTAAGACATGACCCACTACTTGCTCTTCTATGAGTTCTTAGTCTCACCTTTTTTGGCCCCAGTGTCTCTGAATATAGAAATCTGAAGTGATCCGATGGTTAGTTGAGTAGCATATACTTTATAATGCTCTTCATCCTGAAAAATGACTGTACCACTAAATGAGAACTTTTCCCCACCCTGCTCCCCCTCCCTATCTCTGGACGCCACCATTCTGCTTCCTGTTTCTGTGGATATGACTCTGATAAAAACCTTGCAGAAATAGAATCGTTTGTTCTTGTCCCTCTGTGACTAATTTATTTCCCTTAGCCTAAGGTTTTCAAGGCATTCTACATAGTGACATGCATTAGTACTGTTTCTTTTTAGTTTTTGAAACAGGGCTTTCTGTAGCCCAGCTTGGCCTCGGATCTGCTGTATAGTGTGATGACAGCAAGCTCCTACACCTTGAGTGCTAGGAATGTGAGTGTATGTTACCACAGCCAACTTATTCTTTGTTGGGGAGCAAACCCAGAGCTGTGTGCTAGCCAAGCACTTTGCTGTTTTCTTCTTTTTGAATGCTGAGTCGTATTCCTGTGTGTGTGTGCATGCGTACATTTGCTACTCTTTGGGTTTTGTTTGGTTGGTTTTGGCTTCTTGAGACAGGGTCTCTCTGTAGCACTGCCTGTCTTGTTTTGGAGATGGGGTCTAGTTACAACTTGTATTGTAACTGAAATTGACATGGAACTTCTGATCCTCCTGTCTCCACCTCCTGAATGCTGTTCTTACTGGTGTACAGCACCACCCCTGATTTACAGTCCTTGGGTTGAACCCAGGGCTTTGTGCATCCTAGGCAAGTATTCTACCAACTGAGCTACCTCCCCAGACCTTGCCGTTCACTTTAAAAAATTATTCTGATTTCTTCTTAGAAGCACTATTTTATTTTGTTAGGAAAAAGCCAAGAACTTGTTGTCTGTATTCTATGTATGATTTCAGAAGATTAATACATCCCAGTACACTTGTAATATAAAGCTGCTGAGAAGAACGGCTTAGGTGAAATGGGAGAAAACAAGGCGCCTCCTGGCGTTTTCAAAGAAACTTGATGAGTGTCTCAGGGTGTGCAAGTTCTACACCAGAGAAAAGTGTGTGCCAAGAGGAAGTGAACAAAGGCAGAAGGGTTGGAATTACACCAGAGCCTAAAGACTCAGCCCTGTGGAAACTGCTTTTCCTTCACTCTTATATGTTGTTCAGTTAGTTATAATTATTAAATTAATTCAATTAGTAAAAATTACTTGTTTTTACTCTTTAGCATTTTCTTTTATTATACCAGAATCAGTCTGTATATTACCTGATGAGTGTTAGAACCCATTTTTAATAAAGATTCCATAGGCAATTTCTTTGTCTTCATGTTTATGTTTTTCCAGGCACAATCTGGAACCTAAAGGACATTATTCCATCTAAGAGTCAGGCAGAAATCATAAATGCCATCCTAAACACCTTGTCTGAAGTTCTGGGTGTGAATACTGGCGACACGGTCATTCAGATGAAGGAAGCTGAAACCCAGCGGCTGAAGGCTGCCGCAGAGAGTGAGGACATACTAGCAAATGCTAATGGTGATGACTTGGTGGAAGATGATGAAATGGAGGAAGTCCCTCATAAGAGAAAACTCAGAAGGAAAACGTTTGTTTCCGATTTACTTCCAGTGAGTCAGATCCATGTTCGATGTGAATTCATACATTTATTTTTTATTTATGTGCATTGGTGCTTTGCCTACATGTATGTCTGTGTGAGAATGTCAGATCTTGGAATTACAGTTGTGAGCTGCCATGTGGGTGCTGGGAATTGAACGTGGCCCTCTGAAGGAACAGCTAGTCCTCTTAACTGCTGAGCCATCTCTCCAGCCCCGCAACATGAATTAATAACGTTGGTTTCCTTCAACAGGTTTCCTTAGCATTGCAAAAAAGTATTAGGCAATTTTTCAGTAAGAGTTGTATTTTCATGCCGAGCAGTGGTGGCACGCGTGCGCCTTTAATCCCAGCACTTGGGAGGCAGAGATAGGTGGGTTTCTGAGTTCGAGGCCAGCCTGGTCTACAGAGTGAGTTCCAGGACAGCATGGGCTACACAGAGACACCCTGTCTCAAAAAAACAAAAAAACCAAAAAAAAAAAAAAGAGAGAGAGTTGTATTTTCCTGTTGATTCTCATTGTAACATTAGAAATGTACCCATGTAGAAAAAAAAAACCAATATCTCCTGTCTAAATGAAACCTTTCTGTGTGGGAGCTTTCAGTGCACTTTAGAAATAGCAGCCTGCCTTCCTGTCCCCTCCCGGCAATGTTCACCCAGACCTTACTCTGTTTACCCTTTTGATTGAATTCTTATCTCTTTTTATTTTAGTACCTATCTTTAGCAAAGAAATGGGCCGAGCCTCCAGTCCGCCACTGTTGCTGAGCAGAAGAGGCTGGGGGATGTGTAGTGTGCTTCGTGCTCGTGTGGCATGCAGGGTGCACAGCTGCCAGTTACTTCAGCTGAGAAAGTGTAGGTGGACCCATGCTTTGGGAGAATGTCTTCGCCTGGAGGAGAGAATATATAGGAAGACAGACAAGACCCAGTGGGAAAGATACATGCCTCCTGTGCTGCTCATGTGTATTCGAGTACTAGTTACAGAGGAGACTGAGTTTCTGCACGGAGGAAATCCCTCTTTTATTTTTAAGAAGACAGACTCATAAGCCTATGGTTATATTAGCCCGATGCTACGAATGGTGGTAAAATTGTTACCAAATCCCCAAATTGTTTCTGTAAGCCTGGTGCATATGACTAATACCAGATGGGAGAGCAAAGGAGGAGGCTGTTGGGGATGACACCGGGCCAGCTGAGCTGTCTGCAATGGGGAAGTAAGAGAATTGTGAAGACAGGGTAACATTTACAGAGTCACTCAGCTGGATGGAGGGAGCGTGAAGGCAGGAAGAGCAGGAGGCTGCAAAGGAAAGTTGACAAGCCTTGGCTAGGAGAATACAATCCACATTCTCTCATGGGACAGTGACAGGGGTGGCTTGTCCCGATTCACATGAAGTTATTAAATAGAATATAGCTCAAAATAAGCATATTTTCTTACAGATTTTGTTTGCTTGCCTGTTTGTTTTAGCTGCCCTAGTAGGTGGGGTTATGAGTGTTTACCACCATTCCTAGCTCTTCCATTCTTGAAGACTTACAAAGCATAGTTTTATGGATCTTTTTAATTATTAGATTTTTACTTTATTGGGAAGGCTAAGTTTATGCCATAGAACGTGTGTGGAGGTCAAAGGGCAACTTGCAGGCATCAGTCCTCTTTCACTTTCACGTGGGACCTAGAGAGTCAGCTCAGATTAGGCTCAGCAGCAGGAGCATTTTTAACCACTGAGCCATCTCTCTAGCCTGCATAATTCATTTAATCTTAGTGCTTTGAAGGAATCAAGCTTTTTATACCTAGAACACTTACATGTGAACAACCCAAGCCTTGTGTTCAGTGGGAGTGTATGCAGAAGTCAGAAGCCCATCCTATTCTTAAGTTTCCTACAGACCAGACAATGCAGCTCCTCTTTGGACAGGGGACACATAGTGGAACCTCTGATTTAATCCTTCTCTCACGTCACTTGCCTCAGCCTCATTGAAAACCATCGACAGTGTCCAAAGGGAGGCATCTGTGAGGAAGCCTTTTAGTGTTTCTTGGGAGTACCACAGGATGGGCGGCTGTGCTTGACCTGGGATGCGCTTGGTTTCGTATCCAGGTATAGAAGTTAGTAGTGTCATTGGTGCTCAGCAGGTGCCCTGGTATTCGTTGTCCTAAAGGATTCAGGCATACTGCTTTTCTGCCCCATCTTCACATAAGATGTTGGGATGATTTTGAAACAGTCTGCCCGTGTAGCCCAGGCTCGCTTCCAACTTTTCCTTTACCTCTGGAGTCCTGGATTACCACACTTAGCTTCAGAAGTGGAAATTCCTATTAACTTATTAGGGAGCTGTGAAGAATCTAAAATTCTTGCTAGGAATCAGATACGGCATTCATATGTGACTCTTCTTGTCTGCATTCTTGCTTCCAGGAAGCTCCTAAAAGGAGGAGTAGTAGGAGAAACACCCCTCTGACCAGATTGAGGGAAAAATGTTATTGCTTAAAAAACAACTAGCAATTAGTTTTACATTTACTGCCCTCCTGGGAATACAGATCTGAGCATTCATGTTAACCAGACATATTTCCTTAAGTATTATTTTAAAAACAGAAGTACTACAGGCTGGGACATGGCTCGTTGGGTAAGAGTGTTCTCTCTGTAAGCATGAGGACCTGAGCTCAAATACCCAGAATTTACCAAAAACGGAAAACAACAAAACAAAACAAGCCAGGCATGGCTGCATGTGCTTGTAACTCCAGTATTAGCAGATGTAGACAGGTGATCCTCAGCACTCAATGGCCAACTAGGCTAGCCAAAACAGTAGGCTTGTGATTCAGTGAGAGACTCTGTTACGGCATCCAGCATAGCTGTAAGGACAGAGCTGATTGGAGTACTGAAGGAATGAAGGAAAGACAGATACATAGACAGAAAGCTGGGATCCAGTTATCAGGGCTCTCAGCTGAAGAAACTGTAACACCCCAGAATCTCATGTTTACTATATAGAATTGGTCAGAGATGGGGTATTACATACAGTTGAGCATGGAGATAGGGTTATTACATACAGATAAACAAGAACACACGTTTAGCTAATCTTGGTAGGAGCAGTCTCTGTCTCTGTAACAGAGAAATTCTTGGGCCAGAAAGCTGTGGTGGACATTTTCCACAGACACTGTCAAATGTCCACACATGGTCAGAAGGAAAGGCTTTGCAGTTTCTCCGGGAGTCTGAGGTTCTGAGCTTGATATGGCAGTGACCATGTCAACAATACACATCCACTCAGGAGTCTCTCTGCTCCCTACAGGCTGTGAGAGAGGAAGCCTGCTTTACCGTATGTGTGCCCACGCCTGTGCCCACGTTACTTCCATAGGCATGCACATGGAAGGGCTGAGAGTATTGTCCGTGGTAGAATGCATGCTAACTGTTTAAAACAGACACAGTGAAAGAGAAGGAGGGAAGGAGAGAAATAAAATCTTGAGCTCATAAAATACAGTGTTTTCTCAAAGCAAAGAAAACCAAAAAACAAACCATTTTTTGGTTTGGTTTGGTTTTTGAGACAGGGTTTCTCCAGATAGCCTTGGCTGTCCTGAAACTCTGTAAACCAGGCTGGCCACAATCCACCTGCCTCTGCCTGCCAAATACTGGAATTAAAGGTATGCACCACCATGCTCAGCTCCTACAGAAGCTGCTTTTAAAGTTTTAACTCATTACCCTGTATAATTAACATACAGGTCAGTCCGAGGCCAGTGTTTCGATGCCAGTAGAACGCTGGGCACCGCACAGTAAGCTGAGGTCCTCCATACTGCCCAGTTGATTCTGCTTTAGTCCTGTCTATTTAAAACTTCAATTGCACCATTAAACTTAAGGCATAACACAAATATGCAGAGAAAAGAGCAGTTTCTAACACATGCCGAAATAAGAGGATTCCTCCTTCGCTTCCAGGATAATAGTTTATCCAGTCTACTGCTTTATTCCGTCTGTACCTCCTCAGTTGTCCCTCCTCCTCCTGATTACTAAGACACCATGACATCTCTGGACTGATTCTCTGTCAGTTTGAGAACAGTAAAAAGTAGAGGACTGCCCTGAAGAGCTGTTCCATAAGGGAAGGAAATCCCCGCGTCTTCTCTAACATGGATATGTATACATTTTGGGCAGAGAGAATCCATAGCAAATCTATTTAGTGACAGTCTAGTCTTAGCTTAGTTGGACATCACACTCACAAACCTGACTAGAAATGGTTTTATACATAGTGGTAGTAGAAAGTGAACTATGTGCTCCAGGGATTGCCGTTGGAAGAGTCTGTGCCTTCCCTCAGTCATCCTTCATTTTGTTAGATGACACAGGCCAAAAGTTGAAGTTTAATTCCTAGACAAGGGATTTGTTGGTGGGATTTTATTTTTTGTTTGTTGGAAACAGTGTCACTATGTAATTCTGACTGACCTGGAACTTGCTGTATAGACGAGGCTGGCCTCACACTCCCAGAGATGCATCTGTTTCTGCTTCCTTAGTGCTGGGATTAAAGGTGTGTGTCACCATGCCTGGCTTATTGCATTTTAAATGAGCTCAAACATTCTGGTAAGGAAAATGGTGATGTATTATAAGACCTATAGATATATTTTAAACTTTGGACCCAGTAAGTCTGAGGAAGTAAGATATTTAAATACATATTCATAGGAAATTGGCTGTAACTTAGCCCCCACCCCACCCCAGATTCCAGATCTTCGGTTGCTAAGTCCCTCATATAAAGTGTTTTATTATTCACATTCACTTACTCATACCTTCCCATGCCTTTTAGTCAGCTGTAGATTAGGATTTGTTTGGTTTTGTTTTCTTTTAATACAGGACCTCATGTATCCAGGTAGTTTCAAATTTTGCTGTGTAGCAAGAGCATAACCTGTAATTTCTAATCCTCCTGTCTCCACTTCACTCAAGTGCCATGATTATAGACATGTGCCACCATGCCCAGGTTGTGCAATGTTGAATATCATACATGGGCTTTGTACATGATAGGCAACCATTCTACCATTCTATGCCTGGTGCCATCTTTGAATTTTAACAACTGTAGTACAATGTTGGATAAGAAGGGGTTTTGTTTTGCTAACTTACTTTAATGCTGAGGATAAGAGCTGGGGCTTTGCACATTCTTGGCAAATACTCCACCACCGAGTTACATCCCCTGCTCTGCCCTCATATCATTACACACACACACACACACACACACACACACACACACTACATTACTTATGAAATACCGTCAAGGACAGGTTATATCTATGTTCCCAGATACTTAGGCTGAGACTGAAGGTTGAGCCCTGAAATTTGAGTTTTTCTTCCCCTGCCACTACAATATAATAAGAGCTTTTAAGAAGGAAGAAAAATGATGTATGTTTGTGAACTCCATGAATACAGAACCTGCAGGTATTGATGACTGGGTATAGCCTGAAATATTCATGTCTGTGGAATGCTTGGGCAATTATAGTAGATCCACTTAGTGATCTGCTATGTTTCATCATTAAAAAGGCAATGTGAATTTGTAAACAAACAATAGAGTATATGTATTTTAAAGCTTATTCCCCTCACTCTAGGATATCAGTGTGGCTGATTGCGTTTTTATAGGCAATTTAAGAATTCATGTTTATAAATTTACATTTATATTGTTCATTTTAAGAAATGTTAATTGTTAATGTCTTTAGGCAAAAATGTCTTTTTCTGTCTTTTCTTCTTAAGTTTTATTTGTGTGTGTTCATGTGCAAATGGGTGGGGGTGGCCATGGAGGTCAGAAAAGAGCATGGGGTTTTCTCAGAGCTGGAGTTACAAGAGGTGTCAGCTCTAATGTGTGCTGAAAACCAAACTGTCCTCTGCAGGAGCAGTGGGGATTCTCCACACTGAGCCATCTCTGTAGCCTTCCCCCCGCCCCCGCAATCTTTTTTGTTGTTATTTTCTATTTTGGCTTTTATGAATGAGTCTTTATTATAGATCATGCTGTCCTGGAACTCACTCTGTAGACCGGGCTGACCTGGAACTCATAGAGATCCACTCTTGCCTCCCGAGTTCTGGGATCAAAGGTGTGCGCCACCATACTCAGCTTTTTTTTTCCCCTCCAATCTTTTTTTCCCCCCAATTTTGTTTTGTTTTGTTTTGTTTTTCTAGACAGGGTTTTTCTGTGTAGCCCTGGCTGTCCTGGAACTCACTCTGTAGACCAGGCTAGCCTCGAACTCTCGAACTCTCGAACTCAGAAATCCACCTGCCTCTGCCTCCCAAGTGCTGGGATTAAAGGCGTGCGCCACCACCACCTGGCTTTTTCCTCCAATTTTAAAAGAGTTACTTTATATTTTATTTTTCATAGAAAATGAGGAATCAAGGCTGTCTGCTAATTGTCAAGCACTGTTAATTTAAGGCTTGTTAATAGTGTTTGTAGGTATGTTCATTTGTTTTTGAGATAGGATATTAATATATAGCCCAGGCTGGCCTGAAAGTTACTCCATAGACCAGACTAAACACTCCATAGACCAGACTAAACACTCCATAGACCAGACTGGCCTCAAACTTGAGGTAATTTTCCTGACTGCCACTTAAGTGCTGGAATAGGTATGTGTCCCCGCACCCATGCCTGGCCGGAAGTATATGGTGAATGAGTCTTTCCAAGAAGATGACTAAAATATGTGTTAAGCATCAGATGTCTTGAAATAAGCTTTTGCTTAATCTTACTATGCTGAGCTACTTCGTAACACATACAGTCAAGATTCAAGGTAGATACCTGTTCTTTACAACTATGCAGCCCTGTGATAGATGGGACACAGTTAACAAAGATTTGCTCTAGTGGACCAAGAGGAAATCACGGTACTGATTTGCATTCCTGTAGCTTTTCTTCCACCTATTCTAGCCTCCATGTACTCAATTCCAAGTGCAGAAATTGTCCTGTAGACTCTAATCAAGGAAACTAATACAAAAAAAAAAAAAAAACTTGATTTTTTTTTTTCCAGCCTACTGACAAGGAGCTGAGAGAGAGCATGGCATTGCTGACAGCTCAGCAGACCGCTCTGGAAGTTATTGTCAACATGTGCTGCAGTGAAGGTTTGCTCCTAGCTTACGCTGGGCGTTCCCCCACCCCCACACCAGGAGCAGCCTCCATGGGAGGGTCTTTGATACCCCAGTTACATCTGGTTTGCCCTCTCCTCAGATCCCTCGGATGATGAGTGGGAGGAGCTTTCTAGTAGTGATGAAAGCGAAGCCTTTATGGAAAACTCCTTCAGTGAGTGCAGTGGGCAGCTGATGTCCCCACTGTGCCTGTCCCATGAGATTCACTCCGCCCTGACCAACTGCCTCATTCCAGAGAAGGCAAGTCGTTTCTTCCTGGCCTCTGGTTGGGGTGTGGGCATGGCTGGTATGAACTGTTCACCGTGGGGCTGGCGGCTTGGGTGTAAAGCAGAGTTGACACACATGTAATTCTGTCCTGACTATCTGAACTTGTAAATAACAAGTCTGACTTTTTATAGAGAAGTTCTGTTTAAGATGACCTCCCTTTTATTTTTTCCTGTTTTCCTTTCAAACCTAGGTTTTTGAGAAAACATCATCCCCAAACAGTGTTGCAGTCGACATATGCTCTAAGAACCCTACCTGGAAACCTTTGATTAAGAAGTAAGAACTTTGGATTTTCAGACAAATTTCTCATTTTGTCCTTATGTGAAATGTTGAAATATTGAATAGAAAATGCTCCCAAGACCTGCCTTGATATGTAACCTGCAGAAGTTTGCATCCCTTATGTGCTGGGATACTGGTGTGAGAGTAAACATTCACGGCAGTGTGGGACATAGTTCCCCCAGCATGGAGAGAACTTTGATGTCTGTCCCGGTCAGATGTGTGAGAGGTTGCCATTCAGCAAGCAGTAGAGAGGATCTGAACTGGAACCACCCTCAGCACCGCAGAACTTCCTATGATGCGCTAGTGAATAAGACACAGCGTGTACACGTTGGCTCTATCTTCACAAACCACACAGCTAGGCGACACTAAACTATTTAGGGACACACATCTAGTGGCTGCCTAAGGAAGCTACTGAAGAAAGGAAGAAAGCAGGCCTGGGCTGGGAGTCTGTAATCTCAGCTGCCTGAGGCTGAAGTGAAGCAGGACGGTCACAAGTTCAAGCTCTGCCTGAGCAACCTGTGGAGCAGAGTGCTTGTCTGTCATGTGTGGTGCCATGGGATCAGTCCCCAGAACAGCAAATTAGAAATAAAAATAGGAAAATCAAAGGAAGGTATTTCCTATATAAGACTGACTAGAGAGACTCGTGACTCACAAATGAGACATGCTCAGGCCCTGCCGGGCTCAGGCACTCTTGAGTGGCAGATGAACAACTCGCACTGTTCTCTGTGACTGCCTCAGATCGCCTCAGACCTCCTTGCACTTACAGATACTCATAGACAGAATCTGAAGCTTAGATTAAAAATTGACACTGAGCCAATTGTGACTCTAATCGCAGTATTCAAGAGGGTCACAAATTCAGAGATGCCGTAGATGTCACGTGAGCTCCAGCTTGGAGTGTAAAGCAAGATGCAGTGTGTAATCAACAACAACAACAGTAGTGCAGATCAGCAGCCCAGAGAATCCCAGTATCAACCCTAGACTGCTCCCTTTCTCTGCAGAATGAACACTATTCAGTGCAGAGCCCTTATGTGTCTCCAGAGTCTTGTGTCTCTCCTGGACATAGACCATCTCGGGGGAGCCCCAGCTCTTCAGACGCTTGCTCAGCACCTGTCCCAACTTCTGTTTTCTCAGCCAGGTAAATATCTAGACGTTACTGTGAAAGACTGCGTGGACATAGCAGAACTTTAAGAATGAAAGTTGGGCTGTTAGAGCCTTGTTGTCAATGGAATGTTACTATATTTAACCTGCAGAAACCTTTCCAAGATACATTCAGCCACACATTTTTGCCAGTGACAGTCAAGGTGTGCCTGTAGAGAGGTGTGTGTGTTTGTGTGTGCGTGCTTGTGTGTGTTTAATGTCATAAGTATCAAATCTCTCATTAGGATATTTGAGTCTTTACTCCTAAAACTTAATTTGAGGGTTTCATACACGAGTATACTATATCTGCATTGTGTCTGTCCAGTTCCTCCTGTCTTTCCCCTTTCCCCCTCTTTGACCTCCCCCCCTTCTATATTTATTCCTATCACAAGCACACATGAACATAGACACAACCCTCTGGTTCTGTCAGGTCATTGCTGCCCCACCTGCATGTACTCCGGGCTGACCAGGTAGGATTATGGTCTTATCTCTGAAAAAACAAACAAAACAGGAAGAAAAACTTGTTCTCCCGCCCTCGGCAGCCATTTTGCTAAGTTGGTAGGAGCAGCATCCCTGTCCTGCTCAAGAAACTCTGGTGCAGCAGTCCTCTTGATCCTCAGGCTTTTCCAGACTCTCCTTCTCCCTCCTCTGTGATGTTTCCTGAGCCTTTGCTGTGGGGTCACTTAAGTTGTAGGTCTCTGCTAGTTTCTGCCTGCTGCAGAAAGAAGCTTTCAGGTGAGAGAGCTGCACTTATTTATGCTGATGACTTTGGTAGCATAGTAGAAATAAGGTCACCTCTAGGGCCACTGCCTCTCTGGTCATGGCTCTTGGCAGGTTTTTAATACTAGGTATGATTTCCCTCCAATTGATGAAGCATAGTTGCCCTAGGATGCAAGGGGCACTGTTGTGTTATTCAGGAGGTTTCCTTTGTGTTTGCGACAGTGTCTTTGTGTGTAGCCTTGGTTGTGCTGCAGCTCACTGTGTAGACCAGGCACATGAAGACTCGAATACTCACAGTAATACCTTCACATCAGCTGTGGAGCCTCCATTGCATACCAGGCTTCAGCAAATAGAAAAACTGCAGTAAGACCCTTGTTTAGCTTGTGCTTCTTTTTCTTAACTTTATGTTTTTGTTTATTTTCTGTATAGAAGTGCTCTATCTGCTTGTATCTTGTATGCCAAGAGAGGACGTCAGGTCCCGTTATAGATGGTTGTGAGCCACCATAAGGTGCAAAAAATAAGGCAAAATGGTGTGAGGGGCTGTGTTAAAAGGTAAAGGGACTCTGGCAAGAGCATGTGAGCTAGGATCAAAATGAGCTGACACAGATCACGTGTCATGCAGGAGTTTGTCCGAGGTGTGTCTGGTCCAAAGCTGGTTGGTTATCTGTGCTGTGCTAATCACAGGAACTCCCTTCTTTGGGACCTATAGTATCTAAAAGTAAAAAGCCCAAAAGATAAAGTGAACCTTGGCCCAAGGTAGATCTCGAGATTCCAACATGGACAGAGAGAGGGTTCTACATGTTCTCCTTTGACCTCCATGGGTGTACACACACACACACAGAGAGAGTAATAATAAATAAAATAAAAAATCTTATGTTATGCACCTAGCATCGAGTTGCATCTTTGAAATCTTAGTGCTTGTGAGGCTGAGACAGGAGAATTGATAGTTTGAGGCCAGCATGGACTGGAGGGAGACCCTGTGTTAAGAAAATTGTGGAGCTGGGTAGCACACACCTTTAATCCCAGCACTTGGGAGGCAGAGGCAGGAGAATCTCTGTGAGTGTGGGGTCAGCCTGGTCTACAAAGTGAGTTACAGGACAACACGGGATATACAGAGAAATCCTGTCGAAAGGTAGCAAGGAAGGAAAAAAGAAAGGAAGGAAAGAAGGAAGGAAACTGTGGGAAGCTGCTTGTCTCTTTGCCAGGCAACCTAAGAAGGAGGTATCAGAAATAGGACAATGTCCCAAGCACAACAGAGCAATAAGCCATGATATTTGGTGCTATTTATCAGATCTCCCACAAACTTTATGGTTAAAGCAGTAGGTGTGATTAGTGAACCTTTAGTCTCTTGCTTCTCTGGAGCCTGAGGTGGGAGGATCTCTTTTTGTTGTTGTTGTTGTTTTTCGAGACAGGGTTTCTCTGTGTAGCCCTGACTGTCCTGGAACTAACTCTGTAGACCAGGCTGGCCTTGAACTCAAAAATCACCTGCCTCTGCCTCCCAAGTGCTGGGATTAAAGGCGTGTGCCACCACTGCCCGGCCCTGGAAGGATCTCTTGAACCCATGAATTCTTAAACATTGAGCACCTCAGTGATAGCCTATCTTATCATTGTTAATCTCAAACTCTCTCTGGGTATGGAATTTAGGCAGAATGGTGAAGGTGGTTTGTCTCCATTCCACAATGTCTAGACAGTGATTCTCTAATATGATAGTTGCTCCTCTTTTGAGGGACACTTGCAATGTCTGAAGGTATTTTCAGTGATTATGTCTTGATGGTTGCTCCTGGTATGCAACAGGGTTTCTAGGAGACATCCTGCCCAAGAGCTCCCTGTATACACCACACACATGAACAGGATTATCTGGGCAGAGTGTCACTATTGCTGAGGTGGAATCTAGGAGACTAAGATCTCCACTGGAAATCTTAAAGGCCATGAGCTAGAATTGTTAGATTTTGTTCACTTACTGTGAACACTTGGTGCTGGAATCATCCAACAGGGCATTCATACGTGACCTGAACCTTCTCAAAACAATTGACTGGGTTCCCAGTCTGAGGAAAAACCACACACTTATGAGTCGGCTGCAAGTCACATTGCTTGTTATGACCTGTCCTGTCGTAGGTGTGGTTGAAGAAGATAAAGTCATATCCATGTTTAAGAAAAGGAACTCAGCCTCTGCTTGTAGGAGGTAAATGGTGAGGCGTCAGATGGCACAGAGCAGGCATGCTTGCTGTGCATCTTTAGAAAGTATGATCCTAATGTACCAAATGGATCACGCACCTGGGCAGTTCCCATTTGTCCCTGCCATAACTGCCAGCTCTGTTGTTTGTTGCTGCTGTCCTGTTTGTCATGCATAGGAAAGTACAGTAGGAGAAGAGCAGGACTGAGGTGGTCAAGAGAATACTAGTGTGGAAGATGACTCTCCCACAGTCTGCCAGCACCGCAGTGGAGACTTCTAAGAGATAAACTCCCCCAAAACCAGGTTTATTCTGGGCCAAGTATTAGTCTAGTGAAAGCCCAGCATCTTAAGTCAGGGCCTCTGTAAGTCACTGCCTGTTCCTACTGCAGTCTTCTTTCAGACTTACTTCAAAGTGTACAGACTGTTAAGTAAACATCTGGCTTAAATATTTCAAGAATGCTTTTGTTGGAGGTCTGCAAGATGGATTAGTTAGTAAGCATTTAATTGTTCTTGTCCGTAGAACCCACCCAGAGGGAGACATATCACCCAACTCATTCTAATGTATCTAACGTCCTCTTCTGGCCTCCCTGAGCATTGCACTCATGGTGCAATGGAAGGGCCAAACACTCATCCACCTAAGATAAAATAAATAACAGTGTAAGCTAACATTTGCATGCTTTGTTTTAAACCTGTTTCTTTTCCTACAAAATAGTTCTTCTTCTAGAGGAGAAAACTTGCACTTCATCTTTGTGTTTTGTGGAAACCTTTTGTGTTTTAGATTTTGCTAAACATGCTGATTTTCTAGAAGCCATAAGTAGTGCTTTAAGGGCCCTTTTGCAGACAATGGCCTCCAAGAACATTCCACAGGTAAGATATTATAAACTTCTTGGGAGAAGCGTGAAAGATTCTGTGTTTTGGAAGCATGTTAACCAGGGGGGGGGGGCCCTGCTAGAAGAGATGCGGAGATACAGAGGAGCTTTGTGAGAGGAGAAGGAAGTGCTTGAAGTCGAAAAGTGCTGCTCTGCCCGGCTGCAGGACCACACGGGGCTGCCTTTGTGTGATTGATGCTCCTTAGTTGATATTTATGCTGTAAACATTTTCTCCAGATGTTGTTGGTCTTCTCCGAATACTTTTATTCTAGAAACTCTCACCTCTGCCTTCCTGAGTCCTCTCTTGGCAGGTGGCTTGTGGTTTTACCTGTCACTTTTTATCAAGGAGATTCCAAAAGGCCTCGTGTACCTCCGTCAAGTCCCCAGCAGTATAGTACCTGGCCTCCTTGTTTTGTTGTTTCCCCTGCATTTTTGTGAACTTTTTCTTTTAAAACAAAGACAGGATCTCACTATGTACTTCTGGCTATTCTGGAACTCAGTGAATAGACCAGGCTGGCCTAAATGTCCATCTCTACCTCCCAAGTGCTGCCATTAAAGGCAGGATTGATACGCTCTGCTTCCCCGCATCTCGAATCTTCTTTCGGAATATTTTTGTACATCTGACAGACTGTTATGTTTTTAAAAGCTGAAATCCCAATATCATCACTCTAGAGCCGAAACAGTTCATTTTCTGCAGACTGCCTTAGCACTATCTTTTTTGTTGTTCTGTATCTTAAACTGGATGTGGCAGCTCACACCTGTAATCAAAACCCTGGGGATTCAGAAGTCAGAAGGTGACCATGAGTCCAAGGTCAGCCTAGACTACAAGATAGGAGCCTTTTTTTTTTTTTTTGCTTTTTAAAAAAATTATTTAATGGAGGCTGGAGAGATGACCCAGTGATTAAGAGCTCTGACTGCTCTTCCCAGAGGTCCTGAGTTCAATTCCCAGCAACCACATGGTGGCTCACAACCATCTGTAGTGGGATCCAATGCCCTCTTCTGCTGTGTCTGAAGAGAGCTACAATGTACTCACATACATAAAATAAATACATAAATTTTTTTTAATTATTTATTTTTGTTTTATGTACATTGGTGTTTTGCCTGTATGTCTGTGTGAGGGTGTCAGATTCCCTAGAACTGGAGTTGCAGACAGTTGTGATCTGCCATGTGGGTGCTGGGTCTCCTACAAGAGCCCAGAGCTCTTAACTGCTGTGTCATCTCTTTAGAACCTCTTATCTCTTTTCTTTTTTTGTGTGACAGGGTCTCTATTATATAGCCCTGGCTGTCCTAGAACTTGGTGGATAGACCAGGCTGACCTCAAAATTACAGAGATCCACCTGTCTGTGCTCTCACATGCACTACAATGTCTGTCTGCCTGTCTGTCTGTCTATCTATCTATCTATCTATCTATCTAGTTATCTATAAGACAATATCCTTAAAAAAAACAATAAATATATGTCTGGCAAGCCTGTATCCCTGAGTACCTACGTAAAAAAGGAAGGAGAGACCTGACTCCAGACTGGTTCCCTAATCTCCACACGTATGTGCCACGGCACATTTCTAGGTGCATACACAATAATAAGAACATAATTTTAAATGTTAAGTTATTATTTAAGCAAGTTTGATATGTTTTTACAACAGCTTTGTAAAGATGTGATTTTATATACTATACATTTTATTTTAAAGTATACATACAGTTAGTAATTTTTGTATATTCCTGTCTTGTGGCTCTTAATCTGTCATGGTTTCCTTACCCAGCTTCCTTCCCTTGCACCATTTATTCATGGAGGAATCTGTTGTTGTTCTCAGTAGTCAGATTTGAATGATATGTCTAATAGTGTTTTTTTAATACTCTCCATCTCATATCTATATTAAAGGCCTACATCTAATTAGATTCAGGTTCATAGTTTTTCAGCAAGAAAAGTTTATACTGCTCTATGTATTTTAATCTTTAAATCACAATTATGTCTTAGCACGTTCATGCAAAGGTTTTAGCAGCAGATAGTCCTAGCCGCCTAGGTCCTGGGAGGAGGCTGCACACTAGAGACACCCAGCTTTGTTGTCTTTGTGCAGTACTGTTAGGTAGATTTCTTCTACAAATAAGACATCTCATTGGCTATTTAGTAAATTTGGCATAGTTTGTGTCAAAATTTTAAAGATAATGTCCTATAAATAAATAAATATAAATGGGAAGGAATGCACGATAAGCTATTGTATAAAGAAATTGCTAATGAAGTTTTAGAATGTGCCCTTGGGCTTTAATCAACTATGTATTAAGTACTCGTTTAATTTTTTTCCTGATGGGCTTTCTTAAAAGTAAATCGGTCTGACCCTTTATCTCATTAGTGAATGATACCCTGACAATCTCTAAATACAGCTCGCACTGTTCTCTCCCTCTCTCTGTTCTCCTCCCTGCTCCTCGTTTTATCTGTTTGTTGCTGAGACAGAACCCATGCTTCACACATGCTTTCTTTTAGTCTCCTTGTGAGCTCAAGTTTTATACCCATTTATTTATTTTGAGATAAGGTTCCATTATATAGCCCAGACTGGCCTTGAACTGATTCTACTGCCCATCCTAAGTGCTGGCATTATTTGTAGCCTATAGTCTTGACTACCATACCAGCCGAGTTACTCTTTTTGATTCAATATTTGATACATATTAATAGGAACTCCTTCTGGTTGGCTCCTATTCTCTGGACATGGACCCTATGTAGGAGCCCTCAGTTCTTCCCTCCCCTGTGCTTGTGCGAGTCCAGATCTCTGGAATCCATATAAATGCTGTGTGGGTGGGTGGGCTGCCTGTAATTCTAGAGCACTGAAGGTGGAGATAGCACACCTGGAGCAAATTAGTCTCAGTAGCTACACTGGCAAGCTCTGGGTTCAACTGAAAGGGCTGGCCTCAGTGAATAAACTAGAGTATAATTCAGGAAGGCTCTCAGCATCAGCCTTGGACCTTCATACATTACACACAGGTGCAGGAACACCTGCACGTAGATGCCCACTGTTGTGTGACAAAACTTTTCCTGAGGAGATGCAACACCCAAATCTATTCAGCTCAGATACGGATCTGATGACAAACCAAAGTATGTTTACCAACAAAGTCTAACTTGGTGAACCAATGAGATTATTGATTATTCACAGGAATATGAGTGAGGGGTTACTTACAGGAATAGAAAACAGCTGCATCACCAAAGCCCACCCAGCACCTGGCACACACTGCAGTCTGCAGCTCAGTAGGTTGGCCAGTGTCCTTTCCAAGTGACTCAGTTGGTCTAACCTCTTCCTGGCAGCTCAGCTGGTTCCTGCCTCTTCTAGGCACTGGACTAGTCCAAGAGTCTTTGCAGCTTTTCTCCCCTGAGAATCTTTCCCTCTCAGCTTGCCTGTGTGTTATCTTTGCAGCTTGCCTTCCTTGTATCTGAGAGGGATACTCGGCTTTTTGCTTACTCTAGCAGAGAGGGGTCTAGTGAATTTGATCAGATTCAGGGACTTCCTGAAGCTATTTCAAGTGTTTAAACCTTCCCGTTTAAAGAGCTTCCCTGTAAGATCGAATATTTCAATCTCAGAGAAAATACAACCCACACCCATGAACACTCATATATACATAAGATAAGCAAATAAATGCCTGCAAATATTTCCTTTCTCTCAACAGTGTATGACACCTGAGCAGCTGATGATGCTATGCAGAGAAGGCATTCATAGTAGTAGCATCGGGGTTAGAGTGAATGTGGTCAGTATTTTGGGGATCACTGGCAGTGTCCTAGCCAAAGAAGTTGGCACACTTGAAACTCTGAAGGTAAACAGTTTGTTTATAACCTAAATGCTCAGTTAAATAGAAATGGGAAGGAATTCATGATAAGAACAAATTGTATAAAGAAATTGCTAATGACGTTATTAGAATGTGCTTTGGCTTTAATAAATACTTGAAAAGGTGAGCCTCATTTCTATTTAACTTTTCTCCTGATGTGCTTTCTTAAAAATAAATTTGTCTTCAGGGTAAGTCCAAATATGGAATTTTTAAAGGTGACTTTTGGCTTTGCTATGGTGTTGAATGTTTGCGTGTTTCATTCTGCTAGATCAGATAAGATCCATTCTGAGAAATACCACATAGCAAGCCTTACATCAGTCTATCAGCATCCTGGCCTGTCCGTCCGCACTCTGGGAGTTCCCACAGTATACTGGCTGTCCTGGCTAGTTTTCTGTCAGCCTGACAGAAGCAGTAATCATCTGAGAGGAAGGAGCCCCTGTTGGTTCAATATGGATCTGTTACAGATAGAGACAGTTTCTCCATAACTGCTGTTCTTATGCAGTGTACAGCTAACAGTCTGATACCTGTCTCATACACACTGTTTTCCAGCTGTCTGGAAGATAATCCTTAGAGTTTATTTTTACAAGTGAAGCAGCCCCTAAGCTATGTATTTCTTGAGCTCTTCATCTCTCTTGCTAAAGAAACTTGTACCTTAGCACCCCTGCTCCTCTGCACCTCCTCGGACAGCTGCATAGACTGTATCTTGTTGCTTAGTCCTGTTCCCCTGTCCATTGCATTTCCTGCAAATGAGAAGTTAGCTCCAATGCCTTTGGTTTCATTCTTTTTAATTTTCTGGACATTTGTCTGTGTCTACAATGCTTCTTGATTATACTCCCCTACGTCCTCCCTCCAGCTGTACCTACCCTCCCCCATGGTCCATCCTTTTTAATAAGACTACTTCACATATGGGATGTATGCTTCATAGTACACTCTAGGATATTAAGCCTAATACTGTCATAGAGGTTCTCTGCACTGCCTACATTACAAGGAGAAAATTAGAGCTCAGAGAGGTTAAACTGACTTGCATGGTACTGGTGGACTTTGGACCCCATATTCTGACAGTCTTCATCCTGCACCCCCATAACAGGTTACATGTCCCACTCCCACAGAACAGCCACACTATAATCAGACTATTCTGGAAGAGAGGCCTTTGCAGATTGGGAATGTTCTCATCATAAGCTAACTAATTATGGAGGGAAAAGAACATACGTTAAAAGTGCACAGAGGTCAGGCTTGGTGGCACTTTTCTGTATTCCCAGCACATGAGAGGGAGACACAGGAGCATCAGAAGTTGAGGGCCATCCCTGACTGTAATGAATCTGAGGCCAGCCAGGCTAAGTGACATGAGACCATGTTTCAAAGACAAAAACACCACAGTGAAGTAAAATGAGAGTGTCACTTTATTTAATCTTGTGATTTGTTGTTTTGTTTCTTTCTTGGTTTTTTTGAGACAGAGTCTCACCATGTGATTGCCCTGAAACTCACTCTGTAGACTAGGCTGGGCTCACAGAGCTCTGCCTGCCTCTCTTCCTGAGTTCTGGGATCAAGGGTGGTAGTGATTATTGTTACAAACGAGAAGCCAGAAGGAAAACTTCACCAATTTCCAAAATCAAATTTTCATATCATTTATGGACCTCAGTTCACTTGATTTGGTGATATAAACTATAGCATATTAGCTTATCTTGATCATATTATGCTTGGCATATTTGTAGCAGTGTGTAGCGTCTTCAGACCTTTAAAGGTTTCCCTTCTTCCCTGGTATCTTTGTGTAAAGTATAACACGGGAGCTGTTGGCACATTTGTCATGGATCATTTTTGGAGCCTGACCTTCATTATCCTCTGTTTGCTTTTTGTAGACCATTGGGTGCTTTCTGCTGGAAGTTGCCACCAAAGACTCTTCCCTTGTGGTAGCAGGAGAAGCTTTGGATGCCCTCTTTGATGTTTTTGCAGATGGTGAAGAAGCTGAAAAGGCTTCAGTTCAAATTAAATTGTTAGCAACTTTGAAAGAATTCCAGCCAGTCTTCAAAATGAAGGTTTGTATTATTTTCTTTATAAATGCCCAGGTCTCAGCAAGCTCTGGGAAGAAGGGCCATGCAGCTTGGAGGGTGTGTGAGTAATTCCTGTTTAGTTCAGTGGTTAGCCCAGCACTTCCATCCATAGCACTCAGTGAAATGCTTGTTGGCTGTCACAGTTCCTCAGAGTGGTGCTGGATCTCAGTAACTGGGTGAAGCCGGAGTGACACCTTGGCAAGTTCCTCATGGCGTTAACAGAGCTGTGTTATGTAGCAACGCCTTCGAAGCACTTTCCTACACTATCTAGCTTCTGATGTATGCTGTCATGTGCTTATGTGTTAGCTTCGTTGTGGGTGTTTCTAACTTGGGGAGAGAAGGCATCTTAGGGTGCTCTGTCTGGGGACATGGCAGCTGTTGTATTAGCTCAGTGAGAGCAACCAAGAGCTTTGTATTTATTTATTTATTTATTTATTTATTTATTTATTTATTTATTTTTGGTGCTGGGAATTGAACACAATTGTGCCGTGTGTGTGTGTGTGTGTGTGTGTGTGTGTGTGGACTCTACCCTTGAGTTATGCCAATGCCTGGGAATTTTAGGAACAAACTTGACTTTCCATTTTAGAGGGTTGGTTGTTTTCTTTTCCTTTCTTCTATCCATCTGTCTGTTCATCCTTCCTTTTAGGAGCCACATATGCTAGGCAGGCACTCTACCCCTGAGCTACATCCCCAGCACCCCTAAAATGAATGGAATTTTTTTCCTTTGAGATACATTTATTTTTATATGGACATTTTTGCCTGTGCATATGTCTGTACAGTATGTATGTGAGTGCCCATGAGAGCCAGAAGATTGTGTCAGCACTGGACTTACAGATGGCTCTGAGCTACCAGATCAGTGCTAGGAATCAAACCCAGGATCTCTGGAAGAGCAACCAGTGCTCTTTACTCTCCGAGCCATCTCTCCAGCCCCATTGAGTGATGTTGCTTTAAGTAGAGACAAATATACCTAGGATTTCTTCCTTTCTTATCCCCCAAAAAATAGCATAACATGGCCACATTTTCTCGTGTTTTTGCTCAATACTATTTAAGACCTATTTTTATACCAGTACATGGTTTCTACATTGTTCATAAAAAGCCTTAGAGTTCTCCAGAAGGAGCCTTTAAGATAAGGAGAACAAAGTTTACTACATTCTCCACAGCTGCCAGCAAAGCAGATTAGGCAGAGTGATCAAACCTCCCAGACGGATGTGGTGGTGCCAGCCTCTAATCCCAGAACTTGGAGGTGAATCATGAGTCCCCGGCCAGCCTGGGTGCGCAGTAAGATCCTATCTCAGAAGATAAATGATTGGGGGGGGGGATGGGGCTCAGAGTAGAGTACGTGTTTAGCATTTGTGAGACCCGGGGTTTAATCCTCAGCACTGAAAAATAGAGTAAAAACAAACTCTGCAGAAGTGCTTTGAAAGCTTTGTGAAAACTGAACTGGGAGAGCAACCTGAAGCACTGGGGGCCGTTGATGGGGCTGGTTTTCCTGTTGAGCATGCATTGCTGCAGTACTGTGTCTCACTGCTGCAGTTTTGCTTTTCTCTACAGTAGAAAGCCATAGTGACCTTTCTTTGTAGCCACAGGCCAGCCTATAGCGTGCGGTTTGAGGTTTTTTATTTTGGTTTTGGTTTATACTACTGAAAATGGAATCCAGGACCTTATACATGCTTGCTAAGTAACTATAATGACCTACAGTTTTAAAACAAAGCCCATTGTGTAAAATGGAGATGATACATTTCTGTAAAAAGGAGGCATTAGAAGCTTCAAGTTACATTTGAATACAGTTCCTTGTGGTGGAGTAGAGAATTTGTCTAAAGCCACGCTTCTCAAAAGTGTCCTCCCCTCCCCTCCCAGTACCGCAGCATCACCCATTGTCTTGTTCAGAATGCAGATTTTTTTCTTTTTTTAAAATTCTGAGTTAATCTCATTTAATAAAGTGTGGCAGAATGTGGATTCTTAGCCCCCAGCTCCTGGCCTCTAGATCAGAAACTTAGTAGAGATACCAGTAGGGGCCCCACCAGCCCATTCTCTAGGAAATCTTAAGAATTGGTTCTTAAGACTAGAAGTGAGAGTTGGAGAGATGGTCACTGTTAAAAGCAGTGGCTGCTCTTTCAGAGGACCTGGGCTGGATTCTCAGCTCTCACATGGCTACTTACAACTTAACTCCGGTTCCAGGGGATCGGGCACCCTCTTCTGACCTTTGTGGGTACTGCAGGTCTGTAGTGCACAGACAGTCGTGCAAGCGAAACATCCATATACATAAGATAAAGGGCTGAGAGGTGTTCAGTGGTTTAGAGCACATGCTGCTTTTGCAGAGATCCAGCTTCAGCCCTCAGTAGCCACATGGTGGCTCCCAGCCATCCTAACTCCAGTTTCAGGGGAGCCATTGTCCTGTTCTGACCTCTGTGAGCACCAGGCATTCATGTGGTACACAAACGCACATGTAAGCAAAGTGCTTGTGCAAATAAAAATATCTTTTTAAAAAAAGATTAGGGGTGGGCTATGGTTTGATTTCCATAAACTTCAATCTTTTTATTCATGGTTCTTATTTCTAGAACTTTTTCCCCTCCATTAGTCTTTTTCTTTTTTTTCTTCTTTCTTTCTTGTTTTTTGTTTGTTTGTTTGTTTGTTTGTTTGTTGAAATAGGGTTTCTCCATGTAACCCTGCTGTCCTAGAACTCACCATGTAGATCAGGCTGGCCTCAAACTCACAGAAATTCATCTGCCTCTATCACTGAATATTGGGATCAAAGATGTGCAACTGGCTTGTAACTAACTATAATTCTAATGTGTGTATTCAAGTTGGAGAGACAGTTCAGTGGTTAGAGGATTCACCATGCAAGTGTGGAAACCAGGAGTTAAGATTATAGATCAACATTTACCCACCAAAATGCTAGATGGAATCTCAGCTTCAGAAGGTAGAGGCAGATGATCCCAAGAAAAAGCTGGCTAGTGAGGCTAGCCAAATCAGCAAGCTCTGTGTTTGATTGAGGGATCCTGCCTCAGTGAAAATGCAAAAGGAAAAAAATGGCCACATTTCATTTTTCTCTTATGTTCCATATTTAATCTGGAGGAAAACTTTGACTATATTCTTGGAAATGTCTTGTTTATAAAATAGTTACTTTACTTAAGTGAATTACTAATAGATAACAAATTAGATGATAGGTTTTCATTGTCTCTGCCTCTTTCTCACCAGATACGGAAAGAAGGGAGGGGCAAATACAGTCCAGATCAGCTGTGTGTTCTCGACAACGTGAAGATGAATTTGAGACGGTTTATTGCTTACCAGGAAACTGTTGAGAAAAGACTGGCTTCTTAGACTATCAAGAGGACCAGAGCTGGGGCTGGCTGAGCAGCTGCATGCCTGGCTGGCATGAACAGTCCTGGGTTTATCCCTAGCTCTTGCGGAAAAAGAATTAAGAGAAACCGGTTCTCCGCTGGATTTAGTGCTAAGAATACTGAAGGGTCTCCCTTGAATATATGTGCTTCCAAAAGCCTTTTTTTCTTTCTTTCTTTTTTGAGACAGGTTCTAAGTAGCCCTCACCTAGAGCTCACAGAGGTCTACTACCTCAGTTTCCTGATTGCTGGGATTTAAGATATTCAGCACCACATCTGGCCTCAAGCCATTTTTCCATGCCTCTATTCTGTATGTTAGTTTGAATGTGAGAACCTGTAGGAAATGTGTCACGTCTCCAGCAGATTTTAGCCACTGAAAATGGACCACAGTCTCAGGTACTAGTGTGGCACTCGGGACCTTGCTCCTGCTCAGCGAGCACTCTGTCACTGACTGTGCCGCCAGCCCTCAAGTGGTCCTTAACTTAAGGGCAGTAAAGAGACTTTGGACAATTATGCCCTTAAAATTTGGGAGAAAATCAATTAAGTCATTGTTTGGATGATTTTTTAAAGCCAATACCATTTTATATTAGCTAACTCCTAACTGAAATATGAAGATAAACTTTATAAAATATTTTGTTATGGAGTACTATATACCAATGATGAATCTTTTGTGAAGTAAATGACTTGAATTTGTCACTGTGTAGATAAGGTGATTGTATTCTGTATAGGGGTTCTGAGCAGTTATTCTGTGTAACATCATTCCCTGTCTTAATTTGATACAGAATCAGAAATTAGTAGAAAATGCTGGGCATGGTGGTGCACACCTTTAATCCCAGATCTTCAGAGGCAGAGGCAGGAGGACCTGCTGAGTTCAAGGCCTGCCTGGTCTACAGATTGAGTACCAGGACAGCCAGAGAGACCCTGTCTCAAAAAAAAAAAAAAGAATTAGTAGAAAATATTTTTGAATAAATAACTTTTAACTGTTTTGTGTCTTACAGATTATTTTTTATAATCGTAAATATACGCCTTCCTAGGCAGTTTGCTTCATGTCAGAGCTTACAAAAGGAAAACAGCATGACTTTCTGGAATGACCTCTCCTTACTGTGAAAAATGAGGGTACCAGATAGGGCTCATGCTGGGACTCTAGTCCACATTGTCTAGGGACAGCCCTGGGCTGTTCCTGAATCCGTTTGCCTGGTCAGAGTGATCAGTAGCAAGCTCAAAACACAATGTAGGCTGTAATTTCTCCTAGATCTGTAGATGCATGGACCACTTACTAGTATTCATTTCGTGTGCACTGTGGCCTAGTAAACAAGTTTTTCTGTCCGGTTCAGGTTGTTAGGAAGCCAGGATTATTTATCAGCTCTGAAGAGTCCTTGACACCCCGAAATTGGAGATGGCAAGGTTTCTGGTGGGATGGGAAATACAGATGCTCTGACGTGCACAGAACACTTACTTTCTTCTCCTGGATGATGACCTGGACGGCAGTGTGTGATCTCTGCAGCCAAGTGTTTGACCCAGGTTCTTTATAGCATGTATTTTTCAAAAGAGTGGAGCTTTATATGTGAGTTCAAGGCCAGTCTAAGCTAAAGAGTAAATTCAAGATTAGTTTCAGAGATATTCTCCCTCAGATGTTTGTCTTACCTGTTTGAAAGAGAATAGTGTTTCTAATTCTATTCTTGCCCGTGCTTTCTGAACTTGGAGCAAAGCAGACAGTCAAGCTCAGGGTACACAGTGGGGCTTGTTGAGTGAATGAGTGTTGTGAGTTTGTTTTATTAAGCTGTAAGGTGGTTTGGTCACACTGCAGTACAGCAGAGTCAGGCGGTATGTTGAAAATGTGCATGCTTCAACCTAGAAGGCTTTGGGTGGTTCCGCCTCAGGTGCTCCCAGTCAGCATTGCCACTGTAGCAACAGAGAAGTGGAAAAGCTCTGGATACACTCTCCAGTTGTAACTTCTTACATAGTAAGTTTGTGCAAGTGTTGTTTGTGGGGGAGTGTGATAGAGAAATCCTTAGAAGGGATGATGGCACGTGCCTGTAATCCTAGCACTGAAGATGCTAATGCCAGAAGATTGGGCTGCATAGCAGGACCCATCAAGAAAAGAAAATCCATAAAGCAATTTATTTGAAAATCTTCCGGAAGCCGGGGCGGGAGGCGGGGTGGCGCACTTGGGATCCCAAGCACTTTGATCCCAGCACTTGGGAGGCAGAGGCAGGCGGATCTCTGAGTTAAAGACCAATCTGGTCTAGAGAGCAAGTTCCAGGGACAGCCAAGGCTACATAGAGAAACCCTGAGTCAACAAAAAGAAAAAAGATCTAGAACTGTACCCCACAACTACAAACTATTTAATAAAGTGTTAGAGTACAAAGCTATGTGAGATTCTTCATTTTAGAAGTTTGTTTTGTTTTGTTGCAGTTTGGGTTTTGTTTTTTTGTTTTTTTTTCAGTTGGTTGGTTGGTTTGTTTGTGTTTTGAGACAGGATTTCATTTAGCCCAAGCTAGTATCAAATGTTCTTTGTAGCTGGAACTGGCTTGGAGCTGTTGATTCATCTTCCACCTCACAAATATTAAACTGGTTTTAGGGTTTTGTTGTTTAGTTGGTTGGTTAGTTTTTTTCATTTGTGCTTGCAAATGACTAGGTCCTCTGGCACTGGAGTTACAGGAGCTACCTAACGTAGGTGTGTGATCTTACCTCAGGTCCTCTGCTTAGCCGTCTCTCCAGCCCTGGTTTTAGGATTTTAAAGTCTTCCTACTTTTCCATGACACCTATTGTCTTAGTTAGGGTTTCCATTGCTGTGAAGAGACTGCAGCCACGGCATCTATTATAAGGGAAAGCATTTCAGAGGTTTAGTCCATTGTTGGCATGGTGGGAACATGCGTGCTGGAGAGATAGCTGAGAGTCCCACATCCAGATCCAGAGGCAGCAGGAAGACAGAGTAAGCTAATAGGCCAGAGTTGAGCTTCTGAAATCTCAAAGCCCACTCCCTGTGACACATTTCCTCCAGTAAAGCCACACCTACTCTAAGAAGACCACACTTCATATAATGTCACTCTCTGTGATTCCATGGAGGCCATTTTCTGTGCATGCTTGAGGACCACATGGCTGGGCAGACATGGCAGTCTGGTAATCCTTGTAATCAGTCCATGGAAGTCTTATCAGAGACAGCAGATGTGCCATGATGATAATGGACTAAACCTCTGACCTGTAAGCCAGCCCCAGTTAAATGTTGTCCTTTAGAAGGGTTGCCATGATCATGGTATCCCTTCACAGCGATGGAAACCCTAACTAAGAAGTTTGTACCAGAAACGGGTATTGCTGTGATACGCCTGACTATGCTTTTGTTTGGAATAAGGAACATGTTGGGACTTTGGACTAGAAAAGCAGTTGGATATGTTGGCCATCCTAGCAGCATGGAAGACAAGGGTGCTGTGGGTGATTTGAACCGTAGGGGCCTGGTCCATGAGATTTCAGAGAATTCTGGCCTTGGCCATGGTGTATCTTCAAAGCAATAGAATAGCGTCTAAAACATCAATGAATGAGTAAAAAATGAAATTACTGTAATAATTGTGTTTTAGTCACAGCCAAAAGCATGTAGGAATAAAGTCACAGGTGAAACGCAGTATCAGTGTATCAAAATCTACAAAAATGACCTTCCAGTGGTGACCAGGCTCAGCACTGTGGTTATGCACTGGCATCAACAAGTGTCCCTCCACATCAGCCCCACCGCTCCAAACTGGTTCCAGTATCTCTGCCTCCCATTCCCTGCAAACAGAGTCAGGTTTATGAAGTTTTAATAAATTTTTAATTTATTGTATTATGTGGGTAGGTGTATACATGAAAGTCAGAGGACAAGTTTCAGGAGTCTGGTTCTCTTTGAAACATGGGATCAGGGGATCTGAACTCGGATCATTAGAGATTCACAGTAAGCTGGTTTGAAATATGTCCCTCATGTCTCCAACATTTGAATACTTGGTCCTAGCTGGTGGTGGTTTGGGGGAAGGCTTAGGAGGTATGGCCTTGCTAGAGGAAGTGTGTCACTGTGGGCAGGCTTCGAAGTTTCAAAAGCCACAGATCATTCCTGGCTAGCTCTCTCTGCTTTCTGATTGCATTTCATTTGCCAGGTGTCAGTGGTGCACACATTTAATACCAGCACTGAAACAGAGGCAGGTGAATTTCTAAATTTGAGGCCAGCCTGGGCTATGTAGTGAATTCTGAGACAGCTAGGATTATGTAGAGAGACCCTGTATAAAAAATAAAAATAAGCCGGGCGGTGGTGGCGCACGCCTTTAATCCCAGCACTTGGGAGGCAGAGGCAGGCGGATTTCTGAGTTCGAGGCCAGCCTGGTCTACCAAGTG